TGGAAGACAGGCCTGGCAATCTGCTTCCCCATGGAGCAGGTCCACTCTGACACACATGGGGTCGCTATGAGTCAGAATCAATTTGACAGCAACTAACAGCAATGAACGTACAATGTTGCAGTGACGCCTAGTCAACACACCAGCAGAAACAACATACACCTTCCACAGACAATGCCGGCTGGGGCCCAAGTGCCAGGCGCCGAGGCTTCGACAGCGAGAGCGGTTTGCTGACAACGTGCACAGCCCAGGGCTAAGTGCTCTCTGGACCTCATTGCTTTTGCCCAGGTGACCATTTATGCAGGGAAACAGGCTCAGATGGGGTCGACGAGGGGTTCACGGGCCAGAGCTTGGGCCGTCCTCTGGCTTCAGTGCCTGCTCCTCTCACTGTTCCAAGATCTCGGGTCTAGGTATCTCAGACGGGGTCCCCTCAAACCTACTGAAAGAGTATTTGGGAGGTGGGGGCTGGAAATTGGTTTTCCTTCCCCAAACGCAAGATGCAGAATAGACACATCGTGACACCAAGTGTGAAAAGCTCAAGACACAGAAAAACAGTACTTCATACCGCTTAGGGTTACATCTGAAAATGGGATACACGTTGTGAAATGGTGGGAGTAGGGTCCATAGTAGTAGTCACATCAGAACCTGTCTAACCTTCGTCGGGGGTTGGGGGGGCGAAAGGGAGGGGACAAAGGCCACAAAGATCAGAATCAGCCTATAGGTGATTCCCATGAGGTGGAGGTCAGACACAGCTCCACTCTCCAACCTTTTTACCAATTCTGACACCAGTCATCCCTCCCACGGCACTCTCTACTTCTCTGCTAAGTTCAGTAATTCATTGCAGTGGCCACATAGAACTCACAGACTATACTTAGAGTTAAGTGGTTTATTAAGGAAGTAACAGGGTACAACTCGCAGTCAAGCTCAACAGGCTACAACGTGGCATCAGGATCAGGAAGTATGTCGGCCACATCTCCCTTCTTCAGTGCAGGACAGCTCTCTCAGCCATGCAAGCAAGCAGGCCCTTCTCTCGGCCAGGCATGTCTCCCCTCAGCCCCGAGGACAGGCATCCTTTTGGCCCCCAGAGAACAGGCTCCTCTGACATCTGTCATCACCAACTCTGATGCTGGACCCCTTCTGGGCTTACTGCTGCTGGGCCCCTTCCAGGCCTGTTGCTGTCTTCACTGTTACAGCCCCTGACCTGTGTTACAGCTCTTTTAGGAGGTTCCTTGCCTCCTCTTTCCTGCTTCTTCTTCCTTCTCACTTCCCTCTCCTTCTTCCTGTCTCTAAAAACCTCTGTGGGGTCAGCTGCATATATACACAACTCCTTGTCAATTTCAAAACACAGCCCCTTCCAGCGGGGTCACAAACTGACCAATTCCCGTCACAGACACTTCATTTGCATAGTAGGCTACAGTCAGTTCATTTGCATAATCTATTGACCAATCCCTGCAAGGTACATACCAATCACAGGGCAGTCTGCAACCCAGAGCCAGGCAGAAAGTATCAAACCAAGTAGTTTACAGCTTACACAGAAAATGTCAATCAACCTGGACAAAAGTAACAAACCCTCTAGAGGAGAAAACAAGGGCAAATGCAACTCTTCAGGGGTTAGGGGAAAACTCTCTCAAGCTGTTTTTTCAAAGAACCAAGGCAAAAGGCTACATAAAGGAACTTATTTGACCACATGTGTAAATGTATGGGGCTAATAAACATCAAAACCTGGATGGTAACTAGTGCAAAGAGAGAAAGGGGGGATGCTACCAGGGAGTCAAACACAGGGGTTCCCACTGCTTTGGAAATGGTTTATTTCTTCCGGTGAGTAGAAACAAAGATGCTTTTTCATAAGTGTCATTTTGTATGTATATTAAAACATTAAAAGTTTTCCATTTTATCACTTTGCACCTACTAACATGGCTATGACTCAAAAAAAAAAAATGGAAAATAACAAGTGTTGGCAAGGATGTGGCGAAACTGGAACCCTCATCCGTTGCTGCTGGGATTGTAAAATGGTGCAGCTGCTGTGGAAAACAGTTTGGTGATTCGTCAGAAAGTTGAACACAGGACTACCATCTGATCCAGCAATTCCACTCCTAGGTATATACCCAAAAGAAGTGGAAGCAGGAACACAAACAGAAACCTATATAACAATGTTCACTGCAGCACTATCCACGATAAGCCAAATAGGCGAAACCACCCAAGTGTCCATTAACAGATGGATGGGTAAACAAAATATGGTAAACATCGTATTTTATGCAAATAATGTGCACCTTCTGCATTGGTTTGCCGGCCGCGCCCTCTCCCTATGAGGCACCTTCACAAGCACTCCATGCCAATCCTCTTCCACATGTTGCTGTTAAAAAAATTAGCATACTGCACTTAGGAAAATACCTGGGGGCGGGGTGTGTGTGTGTGTGTGTGAGGGTGCAGCTGGCAAACAATCCCAGAAGGTGTGCATTATTTGCATAAAAATACAGTACATACAATGGAATATTATTCCGCCCTAAAGAGAAATGAAACCCTGATACAAGCTACAGCCTGGATGAACCCTGAGAACATGATCCTGAGTGAAACAAGTCAGTCACAAAAGGACAAATACTGTATGATCCCACTTCTATGAAATATTGAGAAAAGACAAGTGTATAAAGACAAGAGTTGATCAGTGGTTATCAGGAATGGGCGGGAGAGAAGGAAAGGGGGACTCATTACTTAGGGGACACTGAGCTTCTGTTAAGGGTGATGAAAAATCCTGGAAATAAACAGTGGTGACAGCTACACAGCGTGATGAATGTGACTGAGGTCACTGGAACTGTACACGTGAAACCTGGGCAAATGGCCAATGTTTTGTTACACATACATTTAACATAATAAAAAAACCTGTTTTCCATTTTACAAATTAATTTTAAAAAAAAAGAACTAAGTCTGTTAAATATTGTAAACAAGTATCCCACAAAATGATTCCCTAAACTGCATTTAGGATCCACTGCTTGGGGAAAGCCCAGTATCCTGTAAGGAAAGAGCCAAGGCTCAGCTATATCACATGACGTATTCCTGGAATGTCCCTGGTCAGTGTCAAAGCCAGGCCCTGCTCCCCAAGAATGGCAGCTGTCACATGCAAGGTCCACACTGTCAACAAGAAACACACGTGCCTGTCTGGCCCTTTAACAACTTGCCCTAACTTAATCCACTTGGTCATAATCCACAGTGCCAGAAGAAACCAGAAATATCCCTGGGCTTTAGAAAATCTCCTAGGGTTCATTTATGAGGGATGGGAGCTGGGAGCACGATCAGTGCCAGATGGAGATAAATTCGCCCACTGGTGCTAAGTCTAACAGCTTCATACATAGACACCAGCCCACAAACACCCTCCCTCTAACCCAGGCCAAGAGCACACAGCAGCATCGCTGAGCGATTAATTACTTTTGTGTGTGGCCTTTCTAGCCATGGTGTCTTTTAACTCCCACCCAGGTGACCGTGTGATAGGGTAATTATAGCCCACCAAGGGGATCGGTCAGTTTTTCCTTAAAAGAGAGCCCATTTCAGAGCAGAGTGGAGGAGGCTGCCACCACCAAGGAAGGAGAGAGAGACCCAGCAGGAGACAGCACAGAGGACTTCCCAGCCCACAGACAGAGAAAGCTCAGTGCCTTTGAGCAGATGCCTAGGGCCAGGGAGAGACGTGCCTGCAAGCACGGCTGGGGAGAGGCTGTTCTGATGGAAGAACTGTGTCCTGAGTGTTCTGATGGAAGAACTGTATCCTGAGTCTTCCTGAGCCTGAATTGTAACTTGTTACTTCCCCAATAAACCCCATAATTGTGAGTTATTGTCTGTGAGTTCTGTGTGGCCACTGCAATGAGTTATCAAATCCAACAGAAAAGTAGAGTGCTTTAGAAGGGACTGTTGGTGTTAGAGTTATTAAAGATGGCAGAGAGAGGAGGCATGTCTGACCTCCACCTCATAGGAATCAGACTTGGGCTGTTAACCTTGATTCTCCTTCCTCCTTCTGGGGTTGAAGGAAGTCAGACACTGCCTCCACGCCGTTTTTACAAGTGTCCACCTTTTTCCACCTCCATCATGAGGCTAACTTCAATCTGATTTCATCTGGACAAAGATGTCATGGGAACAAAAAAACCCCCTACACTCCACTCCCAGGATAGGATGGCCCAGAACCTTTTCTCCTCCCTTTGAACGCTCTTAATAAGACTCTTCTTGTCATGAGACCAGACAAACTAGATAGTGCCAGCTACCATTACTGAACCTTCTGATCAAAGATTCTATAGAAGAATCATGATCAAAAGGGGGAAAATGCAAAACAGAATTTCAAATTATCATGGAATCCAGATTTTCTGGAGCCACTGAGGCTGGATGAACCGCTGAAACTACTGCCCTGAGATAATCTTTAAACCTTTAAGCAAAAATATCCCCTGAAGTCTTCTTTAAACCAAACCAAAATCAAATCCGTAGCCGTCGAGTTGATCCCAACTCATAGCGATCCTACAGGACACAGGAGAACTGCCCTACAGAGTTTCTAAGGAGCAGCCTGTGGATTCCAACTGCCAACCTTTTGGTTAGCAGCTGAGCTCTTAACTACTGCATCACCAGGGCTCCAACCAAACAACAGTTTAGCTTAATTAGTAAAGCATGTCTGCCTTGAGCATTGTGCTCTTTTAAGATCTATCTATATGGGATCAAATTGACAACAACTCGAAATATGTGGTAGGAACTGTAGGGGGCACTGAGTTTATGTTAACGGGGGAGGAACAACTCAGAAAAGGATGGTGAGAATGGTTGCACGACTCGAAGAATGTAATCAGTGTCACTGTACTGTACATGTAGAAACTGCTGAATTGGTGTATGTTCTGTGTATATTTTCAACAATAACAGCAACACCAAAAAAGAATGTTCTCAGTGCCTCTCTTGCTATACCCTGCTTTGGGCCAACAGTTGAGCGTCTGCACGGAGCATGTTGAAGATACACTTACTGTTGATGAAAGCAAGCTGCTTACCTGACTCCTGGAGATACCGATACACCAAAAAGTTCACCTCGTCACTGGTTATGCTCATCTTAGCCTCACCTCACGGCGATGAGGTCTTTACGAAGCGGGGGCCACCCTCTGCGGGAAGACGAGAGGGAAAAACAGGGAAAGAATTGTGAGATGCTACACACACACACACACACACTAGTTACATATATATTTTTACTGCATTCATTCTTGAAACAATTGAAGAAAATAATACATAGGATGTTATACACATGAAAGTAAATAATGTTTGATTTGAGTTGTATTATGTAATTATATAAAAATTTTACAATTAAATGCACAGGCAACCCCCAAGGTTAAATATTTACCCAAAAATGAGACTTGGTGTATAAGGCCAGGATAGAGTAAGGTGTAAACCACACTCACGAAGCCAAATTCAGGCAACAGATGAGGAAAACACACAACTGGCGTTTTACTTGGGAAGCTCCCGTGTGCACGGGATTCACTGTGTACTTGACAACGGGCACGAAGGGGATTCCGAAGCGCACGCACATCCACGGAGGCGGCAGAGTTAGATGCTCAGCGGTTGGGTCAACCACTGGAGAAAACGACTAAGCAGACCAGAGTCACATCAGCGCCCCCGGGCAGGGTGACCACTCGGTCCGCATCACGCCTGTGATCCTGACGAATCATTCATGCCCCACCATTCACTCCCAAAGGGCTCCAGGTTCAAACAATAACGGCTACAGTCGCTTCTCTGATAGGACTTATGTAGTCGGGAAGAGACATCACTGAGGGGCTCGGTAATCGCATGTGTCAGCACCAGCTCCTCTCTGTAAAGTGTTCTGAAACACTGTGTGTGTGTATATAATATATACACACACATATATACGTATATATGGAGCCCTGGCTGCTCAGTGGTTAAGTGTTTGGCTGCTAACCAAAAGGTCGGAAACTCAAGTCCACCAGCCGTTCCTTGGAAACCCTGTGCGGAGTTCTACTCTGTCCTATAGGGTCACTATAAGTTGGAACCAACTCGAGGGAAAT